TGCGGTAATTACAATATCATCGCACACTCAATTTGCATAAAAGTCATGGTCTGTTTCACATAAATAGCTTTGGACTTAGAAACAATGCGGATTTCTCATTTCTGCACTAATCTCCTCCCAGTAAAATCCCTATTTCTACGCTTCCTATCCCCTTACCACTGGAGAGGACTGTAGTAAGGCCGAACTTTGTTTCTTAACATATATTTCACACTTTCACATAATAACTACATAAATTGTAGATATAAATGCGAAAAAAGAGTTTTTAAATTTCCGACAGTACTTTAGTGAGTGCGTAAAGCGTTTCCCCGTCAGGGTGAAGGCCTTGATTGATTGCCCACATGGGCAGCAGCTCTGACTCGCTGACTAACTTATAGTAATTTTGTCAAAGCTCATAAGTTTGTAAGTTAACTTGGATCTCATAGTTTGGTGTAGAAGGAATATCGAGTGTCTTCATTGTTAGTTACGTTCAACACGTTGCCATTGACCTGTGGTGATGGTTTAGTAGTGTTTGTTGTTTAACGTCGCCTCCAGCAATGACATGATACATACGTTTCATATGACAGCGGTCTGTAAAATAAATGAACCTGAACCCAACAATCACAAGAATCTATTTCCGAAACTTCTGATGCAACGAAATCGACCAAGACAGGTGGCGGACAACTCGATCCTCTTGCGACCTCTAAACCATGAGTTGCTGGAAACCAGTTTCTGATCCGGGTCGTCAAGAACTACAGTAGGATGGCTCGCTGATATTTCGTAAACGCGTGGAGTGTCAGTGACGTAACGGCTGTATCCACAGTGAGTGAAAACTACATCAACAAGAAATCTATCTGGAGTCTAAATTTATTATTTCAAAATGTCTGAAATAGCGTGGTTATAATCCTATCACAAATAACGGTATCACTGATGTCAACATTGTTCTACATTGTATAATTACAACGGAAGTCATTAAAGGTCGTCATTTCTCCTGACTTCATCGGATTTTGTTACTTTGCATTGTGTGAGGGGCCAGCCTTGTTATTGACCTTTATTCAGTGTGTAGTCAATGACGCCCCAAAAATATTTTAGTGTGATATTTATTATTAGGATACAAAATGTGATATCGGATATGCGTTTTGCCGAGCAAGTTACTTTTTTTATGAAAGGGGCGGTGAGGTAGCCTAGTGGTTAAAGCAATTCGATCGTCACGCCGAAGACCCGGGTTCGATTCCCCTACATGGGCACAATGTGTGAAGTCCATTCCTGGTGTGTCCCCTGCCGTGATATTGCTGGAATATTGGTAAAAGTGACGGAAAACAAAACTCACTCACTATTTCATGAAAACTCAGAGCAAATTATGTCTGCTGAGTTACACTCTCCTCAATCAGAGGTCTGTATGGCGTACTCAGAATGATCAAGATTTACTTTACAGATGACAGCACTGCGGTCCTCTCTTATGGCGTGCATTGTAACATAGCCTGTTAAAGAAGAGGTTAAAACATCACGATGGTACATTTGTTTCTGAACAAAGAGATAAGGTGTGAAATATTTGTTACATGATACCTCGTCAATGGGTTGTAGGTTGAACCATATACATACATACATACATACACACACACACACACACACACACACACACACACACACACACACACACACATACATACATCCATGCACGCACGCGCACACACACACACACACACACACACACACACATACATACATACATACATACATTACATACATACATACATACATACATACATACATACATACATACATACATACATACATACATACATACATACATACATACATACATACATACATACATACATACATTTGTATAGCGCCAATATCCAGTTAAACTGCTCAAAGGGGCTTTGTTTTCCCTCGATCATCACCGTGTCACAAGTTGATGCTCATCACAGATGATTGTTTTATCGTCAACAACAACAACATCAACAACAGTGTAATACAGGTGAGAATCGGCAATTTAAATGACCCTAAACACTTCAAGCATGCAGTTGTTGAAAACGCTATTTATGATGAAAAAAGAGATTTCATTGGATCCTCAAGACAAAAATAGCAGAGAAACTTAATGAACGGACTGAGATAACAATCAGTGAGGATACCCGGTGTTTGAGAACAGAGAAAATGTCATGCCCTACTGGTAGAACCCTTGACTCACACAAGACCGAAAATACATCGGAGTGTACATACCTTTTCACGGTAATACCACGTGGAATTGTCTCACCGGGGATGAATCCTCCGATTATGAGCTAACAATAAAGGTGTAACATATTAATGGCATAAAACCTGCTTTAAAAAGACTTAAATTCAGAGAACACATATTCAGATATTATTGATGGTATTTGTGTGTTTATCCAGGTCAAGGTGAAAATACTTGTGACTGAGGATTTGGAGTTATGACCTAGATACATTCATGTTACAGAACTTGCACTCAGTGTAAATGGTGGATTGACCTCTCAATCCACCGATACGTCAACAAGACTAGTTGACAAGAAGTGTCTTCTGAAGACCTGTTGTAACCTAGAACTCCTCACAGGAATATTGGACGTACATTTGCGACAATACCATAGGCTTTGTTCTGATGTCAGCAGTTCTGGTTTCTGTGATCTTGCATTTCTGCTGCCTGATCCTTTGAGTCCTGCTCACAAATAAACAATATTGCATTTAATATAAGAAGCTGGTTGTTGATACACAGAAGAATACGTCATTATAACGACCCATTAAGTCGGCAGATAGCATATTTCCGTTTTGGCTATTTATGGTGACAGTATTGGAGTTATTATCTACTGTAAGGTTTGAAAGTTGTTTTGTTATTTTGTTTAGAAAGTTTCCCATCCTCCACCATGGTGTCACAATATACCTATCATCTGTTGAAGCCGTTGCCACCGCCCTTCATGCACCTGAAACATCAACACTTGCATCAAACAGATCAGTTGTTGAGCACAATATGTGTTTGTGTGTGTGTGTGTGCATGCATCTGTCCATCCATCTATATCTCAACATCTAATCGCATGTGCCAATACTGAAATTGATAACCTGTAGTACAGAGCAGTCAGAAAGTTTTTGGTCCTCGAGGCCACCGGGTGAAACATATTGAAGAACGACTGATAGCAGTACGTGTTCCGAGTCCCATGGGGTACTCGTACTGCAATCACCATTCCATCATATAGTCACATCCTGTATTGATTATATTGTAATGCCCTTAAGTTAAGAAGTTGTGTAATTTATCACTTTCAATATATCAGAGATTATATTCCTACCTTTTCTGTCTCCTCACATTTTGCTTGACTGTGCTGCAAATCCTTGTTTAACTTTGACAACTGCATCTTCACTGAAACGAGAAAAGCCAGGATCCCCATTCAGGACATTGATATCATATTTCACAGTTTATTGGAAATATACTGGACAAAAACTAGTTAGGGATATATGTAAATTTTGAAATTATGAACAATGATCTATTTATTAATTGACACACTGATAAAATATCAATGATAAAAATACCAATGTCCCTAAGTTATTTTGTCCAGTATATATATATATGATATAATGTGATCAATTGTCAGTCAGCACATTGTTTACCAGCCATAGTGCATTTAACACAATTAATAGTGACAACATAGGTAGATAAACTTGCAAGTTAAACTATTCCTCAACTAGATTTAACAGGAAGTGTAGCACGAAGAAGATCCTGATGCCTAATACGTTTGTTCGCATGGGGTTGCTCATAAAAAAACATTGTAAATAACTGTGAAAGGTTATCATTTATTGATAAAAACAACAACACAGTGCCCATGAAGATCCGAGAACAAAACATTAATAGGGAAAGGACTAAATATTCAGTTCTTATTCTTACAAAAATAACATTTACTCCACATGTATTTTCTCTGGTATATTATATAAATGTCAACTTACAAGCTTCAGCTGCCTCATTCTGCTTTTCTGTCTGTGACCTGTGTTCCTCTCTTTCCTTCTTAATTGTCTCCTGCACGAAACACATGAACTTCATACATGCACCTAGTTGGAACATTTGATGAATATTCACGAAAAAACACTTCTGCTTCATTTTAATATACTATAAAAGTAATATATGCTTTCAGGACAAGTTCACATAATATTTAATTTGTTGCAGCTAAGGGAAGTTCTATCTTGATAAATAGCCATTATAAATGATCAAATTCCCACGTTTTTCTACCGTCTGACATTTTGTTTGTCTAAATAAAAACACACGCACGCACATATATGTTTGAGTATATATAGAGACTATATTTACTTTCACATGACATTACAAGATGCAGTATAGAAGTTGGGTTGACGTTTCCTGATGAGAACCAATCCATGTACCTATATAGAATGTACTTATGATTATCATTATTAATATAAAGTCAAATACAAATTGTATAAGGTTTCTGTTTTGCAAACAACATATTACCTCGTTGGCTTGTCGTTCTCTCAATGTCATCGTCATCAACTCTGAAACAAAATACAGACCTGATCTATTAAATTTGTCATTGGCAGTTAACTTTCTATTTACAAAGTATATTAACAACTGAACCAATTAAACGAAATATATTCTTTGGATACGTGTTCCGTTACTACAGATTAACAGGCACTCTGTTTTTAAATAAAGCTATTCAAATTGGATGAGTCATAAAAGTAAAGACTCAATTCAGTTAGTCAAACTGGTCCATTCCTGTGAGTATTATCTAAATGTAATATGTCATTATATATATTCACCTTGTGAAGTAGGCTGAGAATCTGGAATATGATCCATGTTGAGACTGAAGGTGAGACCACCAAATGTGTTGATAAGTTCCTCCAGGGCTCTCTGGCCTTGAAAGGTAAGAAGGATTCTCGTGGCTCGCGTGTCATCTTCTGGAAGCTTCATCTTCAGATTTTCATCACATTTCGTCTGCAGTACATCTGTGAGAGTAATCAGCTCATCTCGTCTTGTAGATTCAAGTGTTCTCTTGGTATCAGGCTATCGCTGATACTATAGAAATATGGACGCCATGTAAAGCGTCAAGTTTCTCTTGAACCATTCTGTATGGGGACTGTAGACTCACTTGAATTTCCTCCATGAGTTGTCTCTGTCGATGAAGCAACTTTGCAGCAACACCTTTGCAAACTTTAGTCGCAACTTGTTCCAGTCTTCTTTGTGTAGTTCGCAGTTCAGTTTGGTGGCTTGTGACAGTTTTCATCCTGCCAGTGACATCTTCCAATTTAAGTTGCTGTTTCTTCACTTGTTCCTCCAGCTGACCCTTCGCTACGTCATAGGCCTGATACAGGTCTTCATTCTGGTGATCTTTGTGGGCCCCATGCACACATATAAGACAGACTGCCTTCTTACATGTGTGGTCATACAGCTGCAGTTTGTTGTCAGGGTGGTCTCTGCAAATAGCCTCCTTCAGCCACTGCGTCATAGGGATATTCGTTGACTGGTCAATCTCACTCACTCTGTGATTTCGATTCCGTTTCGGCGTGTCGTGGTGTTTATGGCAGTCAAAGCAGAGCTTGTCATCACATTCGTGGCAGTACACCACTGCCTTTGCATCATGATCCTCATCGATGTAGCTGCATTTCATCTCACCATCAACGTTGACTTTAAAGGCAGCTTCATTGCTCCTGACATGATCTACCGTTGTCTTCCATGGTGAAGTCAAGGCCACAGGAAGGACAGTGTATGCAGGTCTCTTCCGCCTGTGTAGCTTGGTGATCAAGGCATGGCTTGCAGGCAGAATGAAGGCATGGAAGAAGACAAAGCTGACTCTCATCACAACATGACTGAGTTGAAAATTGGCACATTCTCTCCCAGAACCTGGTGGCAGAAAAGTAACACACAGGGATAAAAATAAATCGAACAGGTATAGGGTAAATTACTCAAGCTTGCATTATTCTTTAGGATGTCATCGTGTTTGTAACTATTTTAGTTATAAGAAAGGCTGACCAATTTTCCCTGCATGTTGGACTTGCTCTGTATTGTCCACCCTGTCTGGAGACTGTGATCTTGGAACACCCACTAGAGCATCGTATGCCTCCTGTTCTTCTCGTAGTCCCTGTAACGACAATTATCACTGCATCATATACACCTGTCAAGGAATTATCACATGTGTTGTAATGCATTTTAGTTCTAGAAGTTAATTCTAATTTCAGTTAAGTTGTTGCTGTTGTAATATTGTAAAAGCATATACATAATAAAAGATTAAATTCCCACCTTTTCTAACGTCTCACATCTTGCCCGACTGTTCTGCAAGTTCTTGTTTAAGTTTGACAACTGCATCTTCACTGAAATGGGAAAGGCCAAGGATCATCATTTAGGACATTATTATTTTGTTTTTACAGTTAGACTGGTATATGATACAATATATTTCATTTTAATAGACAACCCATTTTCACCAGTTTTTGTACATCTACCATAATCAAAACATATATGTAAAGTCAACTTGCAAGTTATACCATACTTCATTTTCTAACAGAAAACGTAAATACCTTCAATAAAATAAATAATCAATGTTTCATTACATAGGAAAGCATCTCCTCCTTGTGAAAGTCCTGATTCGGAGTTGGCCCGTTCATGTTAAAACTGCAGAAGGAGGCATGATTCCCCATATGGGTACAATGTCAGAAGCCCATTTCTGGTGTCCACACCGCGATATTGGTGGATTAATATTGCTAAAAAGGTGTAGAACTCAACTCAATAACTAACTTATGGGCATGAAACTCGAACAGACTGTTCATAAACACACTGTGTTTTAGCTGTCAAGGCCTCGAAGTGAAATGTTGCAGGAATGGCGCAAAACAAAAGATGAAAATGGTGATCGAAACACAATACAGATTCTTCAGTATACCATACCTCCAGGAGGGCGACACTCATGACGAGTCGGTTGTCCACGAGGCAGTCACAGTTGGTTAATGCTACTGAATCGATAACCTGCTGCTAGAGCAACAACACGGTGACCGCGAAGATCCGAGATGGAATTGACCATCAGCAACCGACGCTTGTCATAAGAGGCGAGTAGCCGGTTTGAAGATTGGTTGATATACCAAAACTACCTTCGATAGGCAAAGGACTAAATATTTTGCTGTTATTTCACTAAAAACATTTACCTCAGAGGTATTTTTTCTGATATATGATATAAATGTCAACTTACAGGCTTCAGTTTCCTCATTCTGCTTTTCCATCTGTGACCTGTGTTCCTCTCTTTCCTTCTTAACTGTCTCCTCCAGTTCAGCCTGGTCCAGGTACTTTTGTTGAATTTGAACCTCAAGTCTCTGCACTGACTGAAAAAAACGTGAACGGCCGCTAAAACGCATGAACTTCATACATACACTATGTTGGAGCATGTTATGCATATTCAAGAAGACACTTCTACCTCTGTATAGAGGCGTTGGGGTAGCCTAATGGTTAAAGCGTCGGCTCGTTACGCTGACTACCCGGGTTCGAATCCCCACGTGGGCACAATGTGTGAAGTCCAGTATTGGTGTCCCCGCCATGATATTGCTGGAATATTGCTAAAAGCGGCGTAAAACCCAACTCACTCACTCACTCCCTTTGTATAGACCTGAGGTTGTTGAAAATGTAAATTTAGTATTAACTACCATTTTAATACATCATAAAAAGTACTCCATGTTTGCATGACAAATTCCCACAATATTCAATTTGTTGCAACTAAAAGGCAGTTCTATCTTGATAAACAGCTATTATAAATGATGAAATTCCCACCTTTTCCAACGTTTCACATTTTGCTCGACTGTGCTGCGAGTCCTTGTTTAAGTTTGACAACTGCATCTTCACTGAAATGGGAAGGGCCAAGGATCATCATTCAGGACATTGATAACTTGTTTCACTGTTAGTGTGGTCTGTACTACAATATGATTGATAGTCATAGCTAACTCAATGTTTAATAATCAATGTTTCATTACATATGAAAGCATCTCCTCCTTGTGAAGGTCGTGCTTCAGAGTTAGCACGTTCATGTTAAAAGGCACAAGGGGCATGATTCCCCATATGGGTACAATGTCTGAAGCCAATTTCTAGTGTCTCCGTCATGATACGGCTAGAATAATGCTAAAAGCGGCGTAGAACTAAACTTAATAACTCACTAATGGGCATGAAACTCGAACAGGCTGTTCATAAAAACGATAGGCAAAGGACTAAATATTTTATTGTTAATTAGGGCTCCTTTGCCTTTAGGCAGGAGACCTATTGTAATCGTTAATGTTTTTATTATTATTTCTTATTCCGCCGTATTTTGTACCAGCCCTACAAAAAGCACCGCTGGACAGAATCGCTTGAAAAAAATTACCATTGTGCCGACAGTGCTGAAGTCGTTTGTGCAAAAATCTCAAGGCTCTAGGCCCAATAGCAAAGGAGAGATAATTCAAAATTAATTCAAAATTTTCAATTTCCAAAGCAATAATCTCCGAAACTACAAGTCCGATAACTACCAAATTTCTGGAGCAGGTCTGCAATCCGATTACCTTCAATTTCAACTGCACGATCCAAGGGGCTACGAGGCACCGTTTGGCCGCCATATTGGATTTAAGGAAATTTCACGTTTTTGACGGGTAGGCATTTCTGCAATCCATAACTCTGAATGTATGATGTCTAGAACTCTGCATATAGTGTATATACCTCAAATATGAATATCCTAAAGCTATGTTGCGATATCTTGAATAGTTACGGACATCTAGATTTTTACTTTCGTTGTTTATGTTTTACTCAAATGTATCTTTAAAGAACCTCAGCATCATTACTAATTCAACTAAACCGCTAGAATTTTTGCAACATGCAGTAACTTGATGTGCTGAACATTTTTTGTTCTTTGGTGCATGTCAAAATAGGGAACCGTTTGGCGGCCATATTGGATTTCGACAGATTCTGATGATACTACATTATAAACACACCATAGCTGCTCGAGTTCTGCACGGAAGGCAGTAAAACCTGGCAGAATGCATCAACGTAAGATGCTTAACATTTCGTGTTCCTACATGCATATACAAAATTGGATCGTTTGTCGGTCATGTGGCATTGAAAATTGCACAAATGCATTATGTGTCCTACAATCGAAATGCCTACCATTTCGCCTGGACGGCTCAAGTCGCTAAAATGCACCGTTTGGACACTTGAAACGGTGCGTCTGATAGCTGAAGTTCCGACGATTCCAGAACACTAATTGTTTTGAACGCAGACCCGAGGACAACGGAGCTACGGCCTGTCAAAGAGCGAACTATTTCTTCTCCCCGAACTTCTTAAAGGTGCATGACCCCGCGCCGACCAGGGGTCAAGTGTTCCTGTCCTCGGAGCTCATGTTTTCCAGCTTTAAACACCCGTAACTCGGACACCAACCATCCGACTTCTTTATCAATTTATGATGTACAGATGTGTTCTCAAACAGTTGTTGAATCAGGTACCATGGAACCTACCACGGGGATGTATTATATCCATTTATGGAGTACAACCTGAATATCAAAATGCAAAGACTGGAGCAAATGTGTCTGCAAATCCACGTGTTACGTCATGTCCAGTGGTGAGTCCAGAACGTGGGCAACCATTGGATCTGCTATTTCAACTGAAGGCGAATGAGTGAGTCAAACTTTAACATTGCATCGCCAGTAAGGCAGCCATATTGCGAGGAGAGCAGCTCCATAGTTAAATACCTCTCATATCAATGTGTTAGTGATATGCTTAGACATACTTTGATTCAGTGATATTTGACTGTCGTACTCTCCATAAGGAATTTTGACCCACGCTGAAAACAAACAGCACTGCATCAGCACACATACCATGCTTTACTCCACAGTGTGATCATGAACAGACGTGGAAATATACAACCAAACGACCTTCCCTAGATACACCTATCCTCAAACTGAGTACTCTATGTGTAATCAGGACGTATATGAAAAAGCTTTTCTCAAAATTGCCCTCCATGTTGTTCGAACTATACCTTTAAAAAAGTACGGGAACCTGATCTTTCAAGGAAGTATAAGCGTTAACAAACTTTTCAAAGACAGACATCTTATGAACGCACCACCATTTCTCTTTATCACCACCCCCAAACACAACGAATGGGATGCACCGGCACAACGCAGTAACCCCCATACACGTGCATGGGGTGTCATTCTTGGGTTTGACGTTTTCAATAAATCGATGTAGACCATTACTTGTGACAATGAAAATTGTACGCATGAAAAATTCACGTCATGCACCAATAATCTTTTAAGAATGATTACTGTGAAGCAACTATGGTCATAAAGAAATGCAAGTGGTGATGCACTCTCTAAACATGCATTATTGTCATATCAACATTGATTGACTCCGATATATCTCCCAATTATTTCAATCTGTGAAAAAGGTTCCACATCTTTTTTTGAAGAGTATATATGCGGAGTGATCATCAGCTATGAATCATACAATGTCTCCACTCCATATCTGTCCGATACATTGTGTAGTTAACGGATGTACGTGGACTATCGTCGGTATACCGTCTCTGGGGACTAAATGGGGCAGATGAGTGTCCCAAACACTGTTCTACTCACCATCCATAATCCCAGGCCCAGCACTCAGCTGAACCACTGAAAAAACTGAAACATACAAGTGGGTAAACAAATGTCTTTCGTATATTTCTTTCTTGTTTGTTGTTTAACGCCGCTCCCAGCAATATTACCCGTGAAAATCCGGGTTAGAATTGATCTTCATCAACCCATGCTAGTCGTAAGAGGAGACTAACGGGATCGGGTGGTCAGGCTCGCTGACTTGGTTGACACATGTCATCGTATCCCCATGGCGAAGATGGATGTTCATGCTGTTGATCACCAGATTGTCTTGTCCAGACTAGATTATTTACAGTCCGCCCCTGGTATATTGCTGAGTGCGGCATAAAACTAAACTCATTCACTGTCAGCGGCGGTCTGTCATTAATCGAGTCTGGGCACGATATGGCTGCAATACGGCCGATGGTAAAGTATAGCTGATTCACTTCCGGTATTCGGGGCCCTTTAGATTCCACATTACGATATCGTACCGACAGTAAAACACTTACAACGCCTCTACTCACTAACACATTTGAGCTGCCTCAAGTCTTAGGCTCGATAATATTTACAATCCATATGACAAGTTAGGTCCTTGGCTGTGACTGGCTCTGCAGTAATGTACAAATGCAGCACTGTGCAAGCCCATGTTTGGTTTAACTCGTACCATGCACATGGAAATCAGCTGATGAACGATAAACAAGATGATATGTCCTTGACAGTGTGGTCTACAGCCTTATGAAAAGTCACAGTGGTTTAACACATGGGATGCAAACTTACCTAGAACCACCAGAAGAAACAGCTTCATGTTGAATAAGGACCGTGTGGTATGTCGTCAGGAAAGTAGTTTTGCCCATCAATACGACAGCCTTATAAACATTTACACCACATAAACATTATGATTGGTTCAAACTGTAAACGGTTTGGATCCCCTTGCTGAGTGTCATGTTTCAGCATAATGACTGTTTAATGATTCTTGATGACACCATTATTCATGTAACATATTTGAATGTTGTCACATCCGTACACATCAAACAGTAAGCAGTTGAACGAATTTACAATTACTTCACTCTTCTTCGAATTCTCATTTCAAAATAAATTCAGCTTTTATTCTAGGTCCGATGGTCCCCGAGAGAGAGTCCCGAGAGAGGATAATGTACATAAAATTGATCTGAATAGATTAAACAAACTATGATCTCGCACCACTAAACACCTGGGTTGGAATTGGTCTTCAGCAACCCGAGAAAGGCAACAGACGGCATCGGATGATCAATCATGCTGCCGATGTGGTTGATGACTGCCATGGTATCCCAACTGCGTAGATCAATGCTCATAGTCAGTCAATGGATTGTCTAGTCCATGTTCCCTTATGAGGCAGCCGCCTTAAAGCTAGATGATAGAGTGTTGCAGCATTACACACGAACATTCTTTACGATGGGTTTATTAGAAATAGTGAGTGGGTGAATGAGTATGGTTGTACGCCACTTTTAGCAATATTCCAACAATACTATACCGCACTCAGCAGTATTCCTGCTACACCGCACTCAGCAGTATTCCTGCTACACCGCACTCAGCAGTATTCCTGCTATACCGCACTCAGCAGTATTCCTGCTATACCGCACTCAGCAGTATTCCTGCTACACCGCACTCAGCAGTATTCCTGCTACACCTCACTCAGTGGTATTCCTCCTACACCGCACTCAGCAGTATTCCTGCTACACCGCACTCAGCAATATTCCTGCTATACCGCGCTCAACAGTAATCCTGCTATACCGCTCAGCAGGTATTCCTCCTACACGCACTCAGCAGTATTCCTGCTACACCGCACTCAGCAGTATTCCTGCTACACCGCACTCAGCAGTATTCCTGCTAAACTACACTCAGCAGTATTCCTGCTAAACCGCACTCAGCAGTATTCCTGCTACACCGCACTCAGCAGTATTCCTGCTACACCGCACTCAGCAGTATTCCTGCTACATCGCACTCAACGGTATTCCTGCTACACCGCACTCAGCAGTATTCCTGCTACACCGCATACCGCACTCAGCAGTATTCCTGCTACACCTCACTCAGCAGTATTCCTGCTAAACTGCACTCAGCGGTATTCCTGCTAAACCGCACTCAGCAGTATTCCTGCTATACCGCACTCAGCAGTATTCCTGCTACACCGCCATCAGCAGTATTCCTGCTATACCGCACTCAACGGTATTCCTGCTATTTGGCAGTGGTCTGTAAATCGAGTCTGCATTAGACAACCTAGTGTTTGACAACATGACCATACATCATTGCATCGACCGAGTCAGTGACCAAAAGATCCTGATAGTCGCCTCTTGCGTCAAGCATGTGTCGCAGAAGGCCAATTCTATCCCGGATCTTCACGAGTCTACAATTTGACCTCAGCCTCCAACACACCCTCGAGCCTTGACACACATACCTGTGGCAAGCCTACAATAGAATGTTACACCCACCATGCTGTATTTCTTGTAAGGATAGGATGGTGGGTATTGCTGGGAATACTTGAAGAATCTCAGCGAGGATGACCACCTGATCCCGTTAGTCGCCTCTTACGACAAGCATGTGTTGTGGAAACCAGTTCTAACTCGGTAGGTTGGTCTGCTGTTTAACGCCACACTCGGCAATATATTCCATCTATATATCGACAGGTCTGTAAATAATCAGGTCTGGACCAGACAATAGAGTGATCAACAGCATGAGCATCAATCTACGCAATTGGGATCCGAGGACGTGTTTCTAAAGACCTATTCTAACCCGGATCTTAAACAAATGAAATGACGGTAGGAAATAACGTTAAGTTGGCCCAATCCGTTGCTAGCCATAGATTCAGGAGTCAGTTCTGGATGGATGGATATTCCACACCTCTCAGTCAGCCCAGAACTTTCAGAAAAGCTGTTTGAATTCAGAAATGGCGTGTGCGTAGGGAAGGTCATGCGTACCAATTTCGCGAACACCACGTATCAACACTTATCGTAATCGTCATGGATATTTTGACATACGTCTTGTCTGAAATCTGATGATAGTTTGAACCTAACGTATTGATTTCTATGACAGAGACAGACAGAGAAAAAGAGAGAGACGTAATGAATGGCATTGGTATCGCCTTAACTGTAGTACTCTCTGCCGTCCTTCAGTCTATCACAAGTATTGGAGTTTCATTGGAGTATGTTGACGTGACATCACCTTTTGTTTATTTCACTTACACAGGGAGGGTATATGGACACTACAGTGAGACCTGGCTAGTTTGGGCCATCCACCTTTCAGAGGATAGTGGTGTTACTTTACAAAGTTAAAGTACTCAGACCCAATAATTCCTTACTGGGAACATTTACCGACTGAAAACTCCATGCTATCATTAGGATAACAGATATTTGACGTTATCTTCATAGTTCACATTTAGTACAGATCACTGCAGATATGTACAGGCAGGACAGAGATGGGTCACTCTGACCTACCGATATCTTGTTATCATGAACACACCACATCACATGTGTGGTATATAGGTCGGAGATTTGGAATCTGTTGGACAGCAGCGTTGATAAAACAAATTATTATACAATGTATAGCGTTCTCGGCAGGATAAAGCCAATGGATATTATCAGTATCCATGGGGTCATATACGATGATAGAGAGCAAGTTAGAGATGTCAAATGCAAATTTTAGTGACTACTGTCACTGTGTATTTGTTGCTCAAAATGTTAATTGAAGGCTTCTGAATTTCAGTACGAGTATGTTGTTATTTGTCAAACTCTGTGTAGCACAATGGTTATTCCGAGTACAGAATGATAACCATCCCAAAACACACGCGCGTGATAACCTATATATATATGTACTGTGCCGAGGCGAAACTACTGGACCATACACCAATGAAATCTATTGAATCATGTAACAAGGCATAACGGAACAAATGAACTCCAAATCACAACATTGTAGAATCATGAAGCACGTGACCTCGGCGAGGAGATGGGTGCTATGCCACATTTACCATTGTCCCCAGACTCCGTTGTAAAAGGACATGTATTCTTAGAACTATATTGATCATATAACAACGTATGGTATGGATTTACAGCTACTTTAATATTTACAAGTGGCTTCCAATCAATCCTATAATGCTTATCCTTTTCATTGTATAGACATTCTGTACACCCATTGCATAAACATACCACTTATCTCTTTGAACTGCAAATCTCAATCAAAGCCTACAGGCCTATGAAGATCCAGGCCAAAACTGATCTTCAGTAACCCATGCTGTCGTCAGAGGCGACTAATGAGATCGGGTGGTTAGGCTCGCTGACTTGGTGGACACATGTCATTGTATATCCCAATTGCGTAGATCAATACTCATGATGCTGATAACTTGATTGTCTGGTCCAGGCTCACTTATTTACACACAGCAGACTGGCATGTTGCCGAGTGTCTTCAAACAACAAAGAAACAAAACAAAGTATTTCTGCTCTGGAATATTATATCACAACCAACTCTTAGATACTATACACGATGGTTTATTTCCGACTGTATACATGAGATACATATAGACCGATTGGGATGAAACAACGGTGCTATCTATGAAGCTAACTATAAGAATTAAACAGCAACACGCCTGGATGACATAATAATTTACAGAGCAATGTCTAGCACAGTCTAAAAAACGTCTAATTTTAAACATACATTGTAATGAGTGAAATGTTGTTACACCACTGTCAGCAATACATGGGTTAACTAAGATGATTTTAAACTAGCGTAATCTGGAAGAGGCACAAAGGGCATTGAAATCATCAGTACACCCAAATTCCATACGATCGTTCCCGGACTCTGCAACTCTTACTGCACTGGTTTACAGGTGGTAAATTTGAATCTGGAATCACCAGGAAAATCCATGTAGCAAGCACATTCATGTTTATGTGATCGGGTCTGTTTTGGTCTTCAGTGGTCTGTGACCACCATACACCAGTTTCCGACCCTACCTAGATAATACATCACACATCAACAAAGATAATACATCACACATCAACAAAGATAATACATCACACATCAACAAAGATAATAGATCACACATCAGCAAAGATAATACATCACACATCAACAAAGATAATACATCACATATCAGCAAAGATAATACATCACACAGCAGCAAAGATAATACATCACACATCAGCAAAGATAATACATCACACAGCAGCAAAGATACTTCATCACACATCAGCAAAGATAATACATCACACATCAACAAAGATAATACATAACACAGCAGCAAAGATAATACATCACACAGCAGCAAAGATAATACATCACACATCAACAAAGATAATATATCACACAGCAGCAAAGATAATACATCACAAATCAACAAAGATAATACATCACACATCAACAAAGATAATACATCACACATCAGCAAAGATAATACATCACACAGCAGCAAAGATAATACATCACACAGCAGCAAAGATAATACATCACACAGCAGCAAAGATAATACATCACACATCAGCAAAGCATCACACAGATAATACATCACAGCAGCAGATAATACAGCAGCAAAGATAATACATCACACATCAGCAAAGGTAATACATCACACAGCAGCAAAGATAATACATCACAAATCAACAAAGACAATACATCACACAACAAAGATAATACACATCACACATCAACAAAGATAATACATCACACAGCAGCAAAGATAATACATCACACAGCAGCAAAGATAATACATCATAATACATCACACATCAGCAAAGGTAATACATCAGCAGCAAAGATAATACATCTCAGTGTTCCTCATTGCAAAGTCTAGTGTTCCTCATTGCAAAGATAATACATCACATCTCAGCAAAGATAATACATCACACATCAACAAAGATAATACATCACACATCAGCAAAGATAATACATCACACATCAGCAAAGATAGTACATCAAAAATCAACAAAGATAAATACATCACACAGCAGCAAAGATAATACATCACACATCAACAAAGATATA